CCTGGCAAACTTAGTTCATCAGTGGAATCATTGTAAATTAATGCCTGTCTGCACAAGCTCAAAGATGCCTGTGGCACGCGGTGAGCCCTGGTGTATGAGAATGTATTTGCACAATGGCCGCATACCCAGAATTCCCTGTAGTAGGAATGTCTTACATTTCTCTGTTCATTTTAATGCAGATGGGTAGACTCTATGGCTGGTACAGAAATGGGTCTTTGTTTAAATCCTGCCACTACCTAACTACCTGATCTCAAGAAGTCCCTTTACCATGTTTCCTTATCTGTAAAATGAGGGTGTGCCCTTGTGGGTCTCTTCCAGCCCTAACATTCTGTGACTCTAATCTTCACGCTCGGCAGACATGCTGCAGCTCTTATCAGTACCAACCCAAAGTGTGGGATGGGCTGCTAGGGGGATGTGAGGAAGAGCAAGTGGTGTGTCAGCTACAGAGAAAGCCATCCCCTGCTCTCCACCACCCACACCCAGGGCTGAGTTCTTACCTAAATCCGAAAGTGGGCTTTTTCTTTCCCCGAAAGATAGAGAGGGTGGATGTGACCATCACATAGTAAACACCTGCTGTACCCATGGCATGACCGGAGGGACTCCCTAAAGGGCAGGAAAGAGATGAATGAATGAACTAAAGGTGAAAGTCTCCACCCCAGAGACTGCTAGGGGGTGTCATCTACCCATCCATCTTTCCATTCATCCACCCATCATGCCATCCATTCATGTATCCATTTAGTCACCTATTTAACAAGTCTCTATTGAGCTCCTATTGCAGGCCCAGCACTATGCTAGGCTCTGGGAGTATAGTGATGAGCAAAACCAGAGAAGGCCCAGATCTTATATACAGTCTAGAGATTACACAAAGGATCTAATTAGCCCTCCATAACCTCTCTTCCACTCTGTGCCCTCTGTCCACGCATGCCTGCCTCATTGCTTTCCTGTAAACATGCTCCCCCCTCAGGGTCGTGGCATTGTTGGTCTTTCTGGTCACACAACCCTTCCTCCAGAAATTTACTGGCTAATTCCCTTGCCTCCTTCAAGTTTTTGCTCAGATCTCAACTTCTCAATGAGTATTACCTTGATCACACTATTTAATTCTGCAACCGGTCTCTATTCCTGATCCCTCTACTCTGAGACATAGAGGGTCCTGAGGTATGCCAGCCTCCACTCAGATCCCTTTCTGGACAGAAGGACTTATTCTTCCAGCTGTTGAGAGTGTGATCACAGATGACTTAGCTCTCCGCCTTCTCTGGCTGAGAGAGCCATTTTGATCAGGATTACCCTCGTCCTGGGGCTGGCCTGTACCCAGTCACTGGTCTACATGGAAATATAAGGGCCTGCTCCTCTTGACTCAATTCAGGCAACTCTTAAGGGCCTTCCTCAGCTTCAGAGCTCCCTGTGGAGTTGGCTGAGGCTGAATCACCACTAGACTTCTCCTTCTGCCCTGTTGGCTTTAGTCTTCCTTCCATCAGTGTTGCTCCTGAGAGTAGGAAAACTCCTGCATGCTGATCTCTATCTGAGTCTGCTTTCCAGGGAACCCCATAGGCAAAGCCTTTTCTTTTCTTTTTTTAAAATATATTTTTATTGATTTCAGAGAGGAAGGGAGAGGGAGAGAGATATAGAAACATCAATGATGAGAGGAAATCATTGACCAGCTGCCCTCTGCACCCCACCCCGACTGGGGGAGCTCGCAACCTAGGTATGTGCCCTTGGCTGGAATCGAACCTGGGACCCTTTAGTTTGCAGGCTGATGCTCTATCCACTGAGCCAAACCAGCTAGGGTGCCTTGTCTTTTCTGTTCTCCTCCTCCCCTCTACTTCCTCCTTCTCCTTCCTCTTCTAAATTATCATCTTCCAATATTCTATACATTTTACTTGTGTGTTACACACACACACACACACACACACCATTCAAATAGCTCCATGAGAGCAGAGATTTTTGTTTTATTCCCTGAGGTATTCCAAGTTCCTAAAAAAGTGTCTGGCACAGAGTAGGTGTTCAATAAATAACATCTGAATGAATGCATATGGTCTGAAGTGAACAATGGGTTTGTAAGAATAAATAACTATGGGCCATGCCCTAGTTTGGGGGTTAGGGGGAGGGTCCCTGAGGACAGAATGCCAGCACCCTTCCTAAGGGTAAGGGAGACTTAAGATGAGTGAAGGGTTTGCATATTCTGATTACCTACTAAAAAACAAAAGCTGTCATTTGATGGAGCAATAGCAGTATGGCTGTAATTAGCCAAATACTGGCAGGTGGTGGGCTTGATAGGTCAGCTCAGGAGGACACAGCTGCCAGACCAGGCCTCTGGGAAGGACAGCCAGGGCACCAGGCCTCTAGAGCTTAACCTTTCCCTGGCAAAGGGCCATTGCACACTTACTCTCATGAGCCCATTGCCCGTGAGCGTGCTTGCCTCTCTGGGTTAGTAATTAAGGTTCTGGAAACATCAGGCAGATTTCCAAAGCAGCAGCAAGATGAGATGCAGGAAGGCCTTCTTGAGATCAATAAAATGGAATTGTATCAAATTGAAGACCCTGAGAAAACGCGGGAAGCAATGGCTCTCCTCATGTCCCCTCAAAGACAGCTTCACCCACAACGAATGCTAATAGGTGTCCACATGAGCAAGGTGCGCCCAGCTCCCGTCTGTGCAGAGGGTGGGACTCTTACCTGGTCCAGTCTCACAGGTGACAGGGAACTGCTTGATCAGTGGTGCAGAGGTATTGCTGTAGTAGTCCGTGTCCAGGACCCACCAGTACGGGCGCTGCCCAAAGAGAATCCTGTGGAAAAGCAGAACCCGTGCCGAGGTTACGGAAGGAACCCTTTTGCCAGAAGCCCACACCTTTGAGAAGGGAGAGTAGCTTGAGAGGAAGATCCATGTGACCCTAAACTGGTACATTGCCCACCTCCAAGGAGGTGAGCTGGGTGGCTGGGAAGAGGTGGGGGAGGTAGACTTGGATGGTACATCCTTTATATAATTTTCGGATTTTCAACTATTTGAATTTAGTATTTATTAAAACAGAAATAAATTAACCTGAGCTCCAAAGATCCATATTCACAGCCAGCTAGGTGACTTTTTCTTAAAACCGCAAGACAAATTTGTCCTGGAAGGGTGCATCTGGAACTGCAGTTCGCAACTGAAATTTGCATATCCCACCAGGTCCCTCTGCTCTTTCTTCAGGCCTCAGAATAACTCTCTGAAAGGCATACAGAGCTTCAGGTGCTTGCTCTGTGTCCTCTGCTTTGAAAGAGGATATCTCAGACAGACCGCTGCCCTTTTATTTTATGTATTTT